GCTAAACTGATGCTTGGACCGAGGACCTTTGCATTTGTCATGGCCAAATGTTGGTCCAAACCCCGACCACGATCAGGACATGCAACAAGGATGCAACAAGGATGCAATTTGTGGCTACCTACGAAACTCCATCGAGCACAGCCGGGAGAAGTTACATTTGCGAGTAAGCGACAACAGCCAGCAGAGACGAAGGGCAGGCAAATGGTCCATGGGCACCACACGAAAATTTCTGACAGATTCTGATAGCCTTGAATGCCTTGATTGTTTGAAACACTGCTACACAAAAGCCTTGCCCTGTGCCCATATCAGCTCAGCACAAGTCCGCAGAACTTGTCCTGTCAGGTGCATGAAACCAGACGGCTTCCCTTTGGGATTGAAGCTCCAGAAAGTCCTGGCGACCGGCTCAGGATCCTTCAGCGCCTGCAGAATTCGGAATTGAGTTCCTCCCCGTCCCTAAGGACTAACACACTCTCCGGGGACTTGAACATGCACGCGTGCACCCCAGCCATGCCTCTTCAAGCTGATGCAAATAACAGCAGCAAGAGCAACGACCCAGCAAACAGGGAAAATATACAGAGAAAAAACAGCCCATACAGCCCACCCAAGGAACCGGAATGCACAGCAGATTCAACGCTGCACTTGCCGCCTTGGCTTTCAACGACCATTGCCTCCCCATTTCCTTCGAACAAGAATGCATGGCTGGCCCTCACCTATCACTTAGGAGTGGCTGCACCAGCATGATTTTAGTGGCTCTGAGCGAGCTTGAATTTAAAAAAACGAAGACATACGAAGACCAGCAAACCCTCTTCGGTGATGGCGCATAGTACAACAGGTGAAGCCCAAACGTCAACATGCGCCAACTGGCCTGGAGACTCCTCGGTCTTTTGCTTTTTTGTGGGCGGCCTCAAAGGCAGTGCTCGTGATCAGGTCTGAATGTTCATGAACCAGCCCATGTCATACTTAAATTATAGAACTGTGAATGGTGATCTGTGTCCATCACTTACAGCTCCAATCGAACAGCTGCTCTGGCCATCCGAAACTTGAGACCCCAGCTCAGGCACTGCTTCCACTACTTCAGGGGTCGTGCTTGGCGCTGTGGCCACAGACGAACCCTCAGGTGCAGGTGTTTCTGCACGTGCATCGGGTGTGGCAGACACCGGCGCCGGTGTGGCATCTGGCGTCGGCGCGGAATCTGGTGCCGGCGCGGCATTTGGTGCTGGTGTGGCATCTTGCGGTGCTGGCACCGGTGCGGCATCTTGCGGTGCCGGCACCGGTGCGGCATCTGGCGGTCCGCCACCTGGCATCGGTGCCGCCGCTACCGCCACAGCCTCCACAGCATCCGTCGCTGGTGTCGCTGCTCCGTCCTGTGCAGACGCGGCATCGGAGGTTGGGGCACCGTCCTCGGAAGCCATCGGGATGGCGGCAACTGCAACCGGCACCTGAGGTCAGAAAACTTTGCAACTTGCCTTTGTCCGTTCCATCTGATTCGGTAGGTTGCTTTCAGGTTCTCACGTGAGCGTCATTCTACACCCTGGAGTAGGAGGCGGCGAGGTGACCCTTCTGGGCTCCAAACCGCTCCCGGAGGCTGCGCCTGGGCGCAGAAAGGAATAGCACTTTCCGCTTCAGTTTTCGAATCTCATGCTTCCAAAAGCGAAATCCAACAACCTCGCAGAACCTTGCAGCCTTTCTTCACACACCCCAGTTCGACAAGCCTAATACTGCGGTGCCGACACCGAGTTCCCGCGCGTTCAGCACCTGTGGCTTTCCATCCTCCGTCATGCCCAACTCAAAGTAGATCATCTGGGGATGGATGGATTGCAGTGAATTTGCCGATGCGAGAGTCCAGCCAGGAGAGGGGAACAAGACACAGACTTGATGAAGGTGCGACTTTCATGCGTCCAGAACCCCGATCAGCAGAATGATCCATGATGGTACATCTCAGCTTTGTTAAGCATCATCGGTGTGAAGAATAATTACAATCATGAACCTGCCCACCTTAAGTGTGCAACGGGACACTGATTCTTGCCCTGCCTCACCGACGGCCTGCCCATGAACGAGCGACAATCAAAGCAAGATCCAGTCCGGCAGCAGTCACACCCGGACATGCGACTACCTGCTCCTTTAGCAGAACCTACTCAACATCTCTTGCAAAAATCCTGAACAACTCACCGATATAGGGCAAAAACTAAACATTCTGTGCAGGAAGCATTGGCAACGCCCCTCAGCAGGGCCTTGATCGGAACGTTGACCAGCTCCCGATTGTGGGCGAAAACGTCCGAGCCAAACCTACGGCAAAATCTGGCAAAGCAATGCGATAACAACTTCAACGACAAGGGAGGTGCTCTCTCTCTCACACACACAGGCACACAAAGAGGGACAGAAACCCGATGAAAGCGAAAGACAGACAGGGACACGCAGACAAAGCGAGAGAAAAGAGGCACCACTCCTCTGCAATGCTGCCACCACAAGCTCTTTTGTCTGGAAGCACCGGCAGGGAAATATGTGCAGAACTGAAGCAGCAGGGTGAACCAATGTGCAGCTTGAACTACCACGCTTCTAAGACAGATAATCACTTGCTGCATGTGAGGCGATCAGAGTAGACTCCTCCTTGCAATACAAGATGACAAATCCGCCGCCAAATCCTCCCCCCGCCCCCCCCCCTGCCCCCGCCTCCCCCCCACCCGCTCCCCCTGTCACTGTTTTTCCCTGGTGTGAGCATTAGGGAACCCTGAACCTTGAACCTTGAACTCTAACACAACAAAATGACAACAGGCGAGGCTACGGCGACTGTACGAAAAAAAGCTCTCATCCACACCTACTTCTGGCAGGGACGTGATCTTGGCGTCCCGTTTGGGCAATGCAGGACCACTGCCCCCCCTCCTCAGTGTCGCATACACAGCAAAGGGCGATCGGTGTTTGCTTCTTGGGTCTCGGCCCCGCAAGGTTTCTAATCTGCAACCACACGCCCCCACCCACCCACCCACCCACGCCTTGTGGAGGGGGAGGGTGGGGAACGAACGGGGAAGGGGGTGATTGAGCACATGGCAACATACAGAATTGGTGATGGGCTTTGACTGTGGTTTTAACTTGAGAAGGGGCTACGAAAGCTAGTCACCGCAGGGGGGTGGCATGCAGCCAGTTTGATGGCGTGCACATGCAGAATGGGTATCGCTGCTCCAAGCTGCAGCTTCAGTCTCGAATGCATGTTTGAGCAGCTGTTAACAAGCACGATTGAGTCCATGTAGAGACTCAACCGGTTAGTCAGGTAAGATCGAAGACCCCTAAACTCGAAATCTGAAGCCCTAAACTCCTTCAGCCCCCTTGCTTCCCACGCTGGAACCCCGTGTCACAAACGAAGTTTAGGTACAGGGACGCTCTGTTCAGTACGACCTCTGCAAAGTACCACAGACCTTCAGAGCATGGTGACTGTGGGGGGCGGGGGAGGACCTTGGGGTGGGGTGGGGGGGGACCTTGTGGGGGGGGGCGGGGAGGGGACCTGAAGGTGGTAGGGGGGGGGCCCCCCCCCCTACCTTATCCCACACGCAACCACCTTAAAGGAGGGGGGGGGGGGGGGGCGCCGGCACCTATCCTTCGAAAATGCTTCACGGTGAGGTGAGGGGGGGGGAGGGGGGGCCCCCCCCCCCAACCCCCACCTTAAGTCTTGGGTTTCGGACCTGTTAAGGTATGGAACCCTTTTTTTCCCTGGAAGCTTCTTAACAAGGTGAATACCAGTGCATGGGTAAACGACAACTCCCGCCAGCTCCACAGAGCTAGCTTTCGTGACCTTAGAGGACATCGACCCCCCGCCCATTGCGACATGGAGTCACACGTTATTGCTACCGACGCGTCTGCTTTCTGTCCAGGCACCGGAGTACACTCCTTCACCAATCCTCTGCTAGACAAGTGCGCACTGCCCCTGCCTGCCGCCCCCCGCCCCCCCCCGCCCACCGTCCCCCACCCCCTACCAAAACAGCCAGATGGTTGAATGGCTCCGGTAATATTTCAAGTAGCACTCTGAAAGGCAAGAAAAACCGCAGTACCACAACACATTTAGTGGGCTACGACCCCGAGACCTACGGTTAGAAACATGTATGTCGCATTAGATACTGACTCGCGTCTCGGCACGCATGAACCGATCGATAAATATTCCAGTGATTTACGCCGAAACAGGAATGCCGATATGATGTCGCATTGTTGGACTGTTGTGACACCACATTCTGCCACATCTTGGTCATCGTAAGGTGCACTGACGTGATCGAAACACGCAACCAGTGAAGGACAAAATGAACCATATTCAAAATCACACCCAAACACACACACACACACACACACACACACAAAGAGAGAAACAGACACAGACACGGACGCACATGCACACGAAAAAACACACACGCACACACAAACACACACACACACACACACACACACACACACACACACACACACACACACACACACACACACACACACACACACACACACACACACACAAAACAAACACTACACAAACACACAAACAAAACAACAACAAAAAAAGAACGCGCACACAAAAAGGAACACACACACACACACACACACACACCCACCCACCTTAACCCACCAGTGGTTGGGGAAGGGCAGGGTTGGCTGGGGGGAGGTTGGAGCGGGGGGAGGTTGGAGCGGGGGGGTGGGGGTGCCGTGGTTGGGTCAGAATCAAAAATAGCACTCAGTCCACAAGCGATCATCAACATGGAACTTAATGGTCTCGGCCTGGCCCGCAGCTCGTCAGACCCGACAAAGCCCCAGCCTCTGGTAATCCGTTGATGAAAAATGACAAGGGATAACAGAAGCAGCAAGCCAAAAGACGGCTTTCCCAGCACTGTGGAGCTGCAAGGAGGCCAGTTGCACGCGCGGTAAGGTCCCATCCATTGGCTTCGTTGTATGTCTTGAACTCAGCGGTAAAGAACTCGCCCGTGCCTTGAGGCCTCATCTCTTGGCAAAGAAGGTCACCAAAGCATCCACTAGCTTCAGTACTTACCATGCCTGCATGCAGCTACGTGTTACAAAACTCACACTCGCCAACATTGCCAATGAAGACACTCCCCAAACCAGGCACGCACGAAGGGATGCATGCGAGGGCGGCAGGAGCAGGAATTCTCTCCCTCATGAAATGATGCTGTATTTGAGAAGGGACCCGCAAAGAATAGGGATGGAGTCCTGGGTTGTTCGGTACATACCGATCAAGGAAGCAAGCATCTCGGCCGAATTGATACTTCAATGCCCGTTGACACCAGTGACCGCAGCAACAAGCTGACCCAAGGATTTGTGAAAATCTTTGCAAACACGAAAGCCAGGAGTCTAAGGAACTTGGATGATAAGGCTGCGCGACAGCACCAACAAACTGCAACACCCCCTGTTGGGGCCCAGCATTCCGCCACGGCGAGGGCCCGTCGAGTGGACGCCAGCAATGGCGCCTGGCTCTTCAAGGGTTGAAACAACTCAGGACCGGTGAAAAGCACACAAGGAGGCATAGAACCGAAATACTTGACGCAGTTTCTGGATGTTTGATCATATGCTCCAGCTTGTCAAGACCAGCCGTCCGCGCTGGATTCCCAGGAAGGTGGCACGTCTGGTGCGTCCTCGGTTCAGTAAAGGATATCAGGCAAAGCGCAATGGTCCTGTTGCCCATAAACTTTCCTAGCACCTTAGCCTCAAATATCCGGTCAAAGCCCTCATGCTGACCGGTTTTGCGGTCGTCCCTTCTCAAAGTCAAGCAACGTCAAGTCTTTCAGGAGGCCATTGTACATGTCACAGAACCTGTCTTTACCTGCTATGCCCAATGTGCTTTGTCATTTTTGTCCTGATCCGTCGCATGAATTACATAAAGGCTCTTGAATCGTGCAAGTCTGAGTGCCCCACCTTGGTTTCGCTAAGGTCGCCTGGACTGGGCTGCCAATCTTCATCCACCAAAGCCACCTCTGTGACATTCGGCCTGAGTCCATCTCAGTGCGCATCAAGGCTGAGCAAGAACAAAGCAGGTCCGCGGCATCATGTCTCTGTTCAGCTTCACATTGAAGCTCACCCTGTCACTAGGCTGATTGCAATTCTGCTTTCACGAACGAGCGTGCACACGAAACGAATGCCTGTTCATTGGCTCCGTGTTACCACATGCTCGGCACCACTAGCACTTTCAACATGCAGGGATCACTGCTGCCCAGTCTGAAGACCTGCTGCAAACTCCTGTCGAACGTGTCTTTGCCCGAACTCAAACAAAGCACCAGCATCGAGCAATGGTCACCTATGCCACGTTCGCCTGTATTGATTTGTTGAAGCAAGCGTGCAAAAACAACGAAAGAGCATCGACCCTGAAATCTAAGCCATAAAACTTTCCCCGACCCTGGTCGTGTCAAAATCACAAAACCCTACGCCTTAAAACCGGAAACCATCGAACCCCAAACCACGCAAAACACCATGAACTCCGGGCGACCGTGGGAGTGCACTTTTGCGCCATGTTTACTTCCACAATAGTGCCCGTTTTCCCAATCACAAAACCAAGAGAACAACAAATTATCGTGGGACTCTTGCCATACTACGACTGGAGAGGCCCTGACAATTGTGGGTTCGGTTTTTTGGTTCGGCGGAGACACACTCTGCGAATGCTCCGCAGGCCTTCAAGCAAAATCACTTGCGGCTTGCTTTTGTATAGGAGTACAGAATGTTGTAGGCTCTTGCCTCAATTTAAGCAACACTACATTCTTTCGAATTCACTTTGTTCAGATATATGTGTATATTCACCTATGTAACCCATGTATGAAGATTCTACTGAAGCTGCTAACGCGAGAGTTGAAGATCTAGAACGCAAACAGAAATTCTCATTGGGAAAACCGACGAAGTTCGTCTTCGCTCAGACAGGCCCGAAAGGCGTCTTCACAAGTCGCCTTCGCGATTGAAGTCGTCTTCCTCCCCCCAAAGGTCTTCCATAAGGGCCACATTCATCCCTTCCCTTAAAAGGCCATCCCTTCTTCCCTGCCGGAAAAGTGGACCCAGTTTCCACTGCCAATGTATGTATCGATCATAATTTGTACAAGGGTGTGCACTATGTTGTTGAAATGATTACTTTAACATTCCATCAAGGTCGTAGTTCGGCATTTGTAAACAAAGACCTTCGCATTATCGAGGAAATCACTTGTTGGAGCCCCCTGGTTTTGATGCTGATGTATTCACGCCTCAGATGGTACAAATTCGAATAGGTATTGACATGAGAGAGGCAATAACAATGATAACAAAAACACGACTAAAGAATTAGCCTGAGAGAGGCAATACAATAGTCAAACAAAACGCATGACCTGAAGCACTAAACCCCCGATAAGCAAAACCCAGATCTGGCTAGTTTCGGAAAAACTGGATCGCAGATACTCACACACACACACACATAAACCACACGGCAAAGAATTGAAATGGGAGAGGCAAAACAATGATACAAGAACACACATAACCCGAAGCACTCACCCCTCCCAAACAACCCTGCCATAGGCCCGAACCCTCAAAACCATGAACCCAACATGCTAAAACCCTAAAAACTTTTAAAAAAAAACACACACAAACCCCCAACCTTGAGCTGTAAACCCAGTTCAACCCCCAAAACCCGAAACCCGAAACCCGAAAGCCCTGGCCCTGGAAACGCAAGACCCTAAGAAGCCAAACCCGAATACACCCTAAACCGACCATGCCGTAAACCCTAAACCCTTTGAAACCATCTCCACAAACACCTGGAAACACCGAACCCTAAACTTCCTCAGTGTAAACCAGAAAAACTCTGAAGAGCCCCAAAACGTTGACACCCAAGACTCCAACGCGGCAAACCTTTACACACCGCAAACCCTAAAAGGCTCTACACCCGGAAGCCAAAACTGCGAACCTTAAAAAGGAATGGACAACCATCAACGCTGAATCCCCTGACCCACAGCATCAGAGAGAGCATGAAACCTTGACAATCCCCCGGCATTGTGCTCTTGCTCAATTTGAAGATAATCCAAGTGGCGGTCGGCGGCAGCCTTCCGGGCGTCCTCCTGAATGTCCGCCAGCAACTTCACCCGGCGAGCATGGGCGTGGTCTGTTTGCTGCGTCATGGCCAACATCTTGGCATGGTACTTTTGTCGCCACATCCTTCTGAATGCCCTGAAGCTCTTCCCGCCGGATCTCCTTGCACTGACGAGACAGATCGGCAACTTCTGCCACCTTGTTGCCTTCGTAGTCGGTCTTGAACTTCTTGCCCATGTCACACACCTCCTTGCTCTGCCACTTCTCCCAAAACTTCTCGGCCGCATTTGGGCCCCAGCCGGATTCGTCTTGGAATTTCTTCAGCAGAAAATCTTGCTGATACGTACCAAAGCGAGGGAAGTTCTTGCGCAAGCACCAAACGCCATTTTTGCCGCCTGAAGAATGGCCTCCGCCGCCGCCGCCAAGGCACTGGCGGCGTTTGGGGGTCTTGGGCAACATGTCGTGCTCCTTTCACATAAAGAGCCGCAAGCTCTTCTCAGGGCACGTCGCCACAGCCATTGCGCCCACCGCAGCGACGGATTTGGCGCTTTCGGCGTTGTCATCGCTGCTATCTCTTCCAAGACGCGCTTCCTGCGACTCGGAAGCGGAGTCGTCATCGGACTCCATGGCAGCCAGTGGTCGTCGTGGGGCATGTGACATTAGTTCAAGGCTTCTCTAGCCTTCTAAAACATCTAAATCTGGATGTCCGTCAGCCTCGGTAGGCAGCAGATTGGAGCCTCTTGGTTTGTCATTTCGGCTTGCCCTATGCTGCTGCATAAAGCGTCGCGCGAAGCTTTTTAACACTGCCCGCTGTCTCGCCCGGTAGCGTACACTACAGTGGAGCACAATACCTCGAGGGCTCTACGTGCAACCGTTCGACCTCATGAATCCCACAAGTGTGCTTGGTCAGCCTCAGGGCCTGTGCTCCACTCTGAAATCTATTCATCCTGAAACGGCCAAATCTCCAAAAACTGCAAAGCTTGAGATTTTTGACCCCTTAAGAAGAAATGAATCCAAAGAATCCGAAACCCTGAAATACAATCCACAAGCCCTAAGCAACCTACCTAAACCCTGAACCCTAACGAAACCAACCCAAGAACCGTAAACCCTATTCAGCCGCAAAAACCCCAACAGAATGCAAACTCTAAGACCCCAAACCCTAACATCCTTAAGCTGCCCGTGCCATAAACCCTAAAATATCACGAGCCCTTAAAGCCATCCCCAAACATCCTACAAAGCTAGACGACCCCCAAAACACTTTGAACCTAAGAACCATCAGCCACTCCGGAATGTAGGCCAAAAAACCGAAAAAGCAAAACCAGCAAAATCACGCATTCACAGCCCTAGAAGGCCCTAAACCCCAAGTTGAAGACCCCAACCCTCGAAGCTTTCCCTCGACCCCGAAAACCGAAAAGCCCCAATAGCTCGAATCCCTAAAACAAAAACATGCGAACCTCTTCAAACAAGGAACCCCGAAATCCCCAAGCCCCAAACCCTCGAAGACCCTAAAACCCTGAACCCTGAAAAGCTCAAAACCCTAACAATGCCAAAAACAGCAAACTTGAAACTCCGAAAACCCTTGTGACAACAATCTACAGTCTTTGTGCACCTTTCTGGGGGATGAGAATGAAAACTTAAAACAATCACAACTAAGAAGAAACATGCCACAAGTCACAGCTTCGAGGGCACATTGATGTGTTCTTATCCCAGCAGTCAGCAACGTTGCCACACCCCCTCTTGATGGAGCACCTGAGCCATTATGGCTTCAGGCCTCGCGTGCCCTGCACATGCAAAAGAACTCACCATCTGTCCTTGTTGACATACACGTCCCTGCCAAAGTATTCTTTGGCATCCGGGCAGTCGATGAAGCCGAAGCCCTGAAGGAGGGACAGCTCTCTGCCATACTATCACCCTCAAATCCCCACTCTGAGCCATGGTGTGACATGTTCAAGACACGTTCACCTTACACCCGCAAATGTGAAAAGAATTGCGCATTCGCTCTCCAGACGCCTTGTCAGCCTCAGCCGCCTTGAAAGTGCCTGACCGCACGGCCGAAACCTACATATCTGAACGACTTCCAAGACATTGCCGCTGTGAACCAATGGCCAGGCCTTTCAATGCCATGCCATTAACAGCGGCAATTCTCAACAACCTCAGCTGCAGCACGGATCTTTTCGGGAAGCCCTTCTCAAGCTTAGGAGTCTAACTGCACGCCTTGTCCTAGAACTTTGATGCTGCCATTCCACTACGAGCGCACACGAAGGTTGATCCTTACTCGTCTCATGCGCCTCCTTTCGGCCTCACTTGTCTGCGCAGTGCAGGGTTTGTTTTCGGTGTTCTCAGCCTACATCCAAGGGGCAGGGTCCCGAACAACTCTCACATGCAATATGCAATGAGAAAGGATCTCAGAGCACGAGCTAGCGGCTAACTAGCGTTTCTAGAAACAACTTTCGCTTCGCTCATCCTCGGCCCCAGGCTCATAAGAGGCTTGAGGCTGCCCCCAGTTCGACCTTGGCACATCGCAACCATTGTGCAAATCTGCTCAATGGCAAAGATGTCTTGACCTGTCTTGATGCTACTGGGCATTCGCAAACATGCTCACATACGCAGACCCCTTCTCCGGGGCGGTCTTCTCTCAATCGGCATATGGTTCAGTTCGGGCAAGAGGGCGGCGGGGGAAAACATCCGAAACCGAACTTAGCATGTGCACAGAGCGTTCTCACCCTCAATCAAGGCAACGAGATGCCAATGCCTCGGAAAGCACCCCATGTCAGAGTGAGATGTCTCTTTCTGAAGTCACAGGGTACAGATAAAACATATTTGCTGACCAAACCGGTCAGGAACCCCGCACCATGAAGCAAATGTGGTGAGCACAAGAATTAGGTCCAACAGTTTGGAGCTGCGATGGACGAGTCCGAATCCGAGAATGTGGACAAACAAGAAGCGATAGCGGCGACGACAAGCAGGCAAAGGGGAAGGGCATCAGCGGCAAGAACACAAAGGACAAAAGCAAAGGCGGGCAGATCACAAAAAGCGACTTCTCATACCAGTTTCTCGAAGCTTGCCAAAGGCAACTCTGAGCGTGGAGCTGCGCTCTGGCATAAAACATCCGATGTGCGCACTGTTGCCAGCAATATGCCGAAAAACATCATAAACAAAATGGCAGTATGTGTATATGCCTGCCCAGGCGACCGCAATGCAAATTTATGTCTATGCATATTGGCTAGTAGGGGCTACGGTTCCCCAGCGTATGTTTCTCCAGGGTGCATCAACACCTTCAGCGGCGCCGAGTGCGCAACCGACTACTCATGCAGAGCTAGGCGAGTTAGTATGTCTGGGAATTTCGCCTAAGCTTGCTAATCGCCAAAGCTTCAGTCCGAAGCAACGCTTGCCATCTGGCACGTGTTTCCTGTACACAAAAAGTTCGTGGACATCCATGTGCTTGTGCTAAGATTGCTGCCAGTGAATGAAGAACACTAACGTGTCACCCACCTCAGCATCGGCTTTCGTCGTCTCTGTCTGACATGTTGACGGGCACGCATCGTCTGCCGTAGCTCAGGTCTGGGCACCGACCTTTGCAGTTTCGAGAACCGACCCGTAGGCATAAACCTCCTGACCTCAGTCCGACTGCAACTACCATGAAAGCAGGAACGCATAGTCACGAGTCGAGGTGGCTGCCACAGATGGCATAGGCCTCCGCACAAGCGATGATGCCGGCCTGGCCGGACACTGTTAGCAGTGAGATTTGGAGGATCCCAGATGGAAGGGGAACGGAAACAGAGTGAAGAAATGAAAAGAAAGGGAGGACAAGCCGGGACAAGAGAAACACCATGAAGAACAGGCTAGCCTCAGAATTGCAAAATCCGACCCCTGATAACGACTATATTCAAAACTCCAACTTACAGGTGCAATGCCCTTCCACCAACGGCCATCATTTTTCAACTTCGAACTGCCCTGTGCACTGTATTGAATTTCAGTAAACCATCCACCAGCAACGCAAAACATTCCGATGGGCTTCGGAAACTTTGACCATGACATGGGTCAAGTCATGAAGAGTTTTACATTTTCACAACGAGGTGGTCCTCGTTTGCCATTTCGGCGCGTGCATGGGTTCAGGTCCCTGATCTTGTTCATATTTGCGTGCTTCATCCATCGCGGGTCTCGCTGGACGGCACATTCTACAAAGACTGAACCTGAAGTCTCGCGGAAGTGTAGGATGAAGGGCCTAAACCTACATCTGCAAGCATTGCTCATCAAGCGGGGTTTCGGGTGGCTTCGTGGACGCGTTGCTCGCACTGTGCCAAACTTGTGTTGTACTTGTCTTGTTGCCGCCTAAGCAGGGCGACTCCATGGCAGTGCTTGTCCTAAAGCACTCTGCCATGTGACTCCACACTCCTGCTCCGAAAAAGACGTTGGGGAGTTTAAGGCTTGAGGCGCACTCGCACTCGGACTTTGTTTGGCTTCAAACAGGCCCACAAAGCTTACCCTTATGCGAGAAGGACCTTTCACCTTCGAGGTTGCCAAGAACACAAGGACAGGCCCGTAGTGGATTCCCTTGCCTTCCCTACCCTCATCGGCTTCTTATCGTGTCAAGATGCGTCCGCCCTCCGCATTCTCGACCAACCCCCCAGAAACCCTAGACCATGAATCAGAGAAGGGGACCGTGGAAAGGGCTGAGGAAGGGCTTCGTATGTGCTGAGATGTATGGAGAGGGTTTTGGGTATAGGGTTTATAGGGCTGTAGAGGCTTTCGGGTTTATGGGGTCTAAAGGGCTTAGGGTTTCTAGCGTCTAAAGGGTCCATGGGGTCTAAAAGCTCTGTAGAGTGTATAAGGTCTAGATCAGCAGCTCAAAACCCCAGAGTCTAGGGATTAGGCACCCCCAATCCTTAAGCCCTCGCTTGGCTTAGCATGCAGCACCTTAGATTGCAAGGGCCAGATGAACCCGGAAAAAACTTCGCCAAGCCTGCGCACCAATTTGGCTGCATCCTTTCTTCTACAGTATTGCACGAGCAGAACATATAGTCGAGAATGCCTGAAAAAAACGGAAGAAGTACTGAGCAAGGATGGCATTGATATCAGCATGACCGAAAATACAAGCTCGGAACGCGACAGAATCTTGAACCAGCCCTGTTCAGTTTTGGGGTCCCGTTCTCAAGATGGTGTCTCACCACCCAATTTCCAAGAATACTTTGGCAAAGAACCCAAGAAATTGTCCCAAAAGTGTCTCACCACATAAAGTTGGAACTTGGCGTCTACCTCAAGCAAAAAGCTCTTTCTACACCTTCCTACAAGCTCTTACCTGAGCGTCCACAAGAAGTTAAACCCCCAAGGGCCTTGAGACAAACCCTGAAAATAAACCCTGAAAGCTCACAGCCCTCACTTTGTTTCCCAAAGCCCGGACACCTACACCCTAAACCTCAACCCTCCCAATGAACACCCCAAAACCCATCCGCAGAAAACCTCAACCTTAACTATCAGAACCCTGAACCCAAACCTCCAAGGCCCAAAGCCTTGACCCTAAACCCCAAAACCGCAGCCCCAAAAAACAAACAGAGCCACAACCACAAAGAAACCCTCAGCCCGTAGCTCGAACAACAGGGACATGCAAGAACGCGCCAGGATAAGGCTTAGCAGATGGCTTCACAGTCTCTCTTCGACTGCCTTCTTCTCAATGTTGTAATTGCGAAGACGGCCAACGAAGCAGGGCCTGGAGAAGCGCACGAAGATGGACAAAGAAATTCTAACAAATTGGCCACACGAATTCACCACTTGTGCTCATCTTGTGGAACCTCCTACTCTAAGGCAGAACATTCCAAGACAACACGAGAGGAATTCTGAGCGAAGCCTTTTGCCCACCACACAACCCGATCAAACGAACAAGAGCTCAGCTCACACTCCATGAATTCAACAAAGCATTACGTTCAAGCAGATCCCAGGCAACCCGGCTCCCCCCAGGCGATCTTGGTCGCCACCTGGCACCAAAGACCGGTGCTAACAGCGGTGCGGCGGTGCAACTGTCCATGCCCCAGCGAGAATTCTGTGTCCCTCTGGCCTTGCCCTTCTTGCCCTTTCCTTGGACTAGTCAAGAGAAGTTGCCAAAGGCAGCATGGACATGGGCTACCAGATCTCAGCAATCTGCAAGAAGCATCTGTTGTGCGGGCTTCGATGAATGGGCTTCCGCAGGTTTTTTTGCAGGTGTCCAGCAATTACTGATTTGCCAAGGCTCCCTTTCCCTTGCCTTTACCCTTTCCCTCCTTGCCCGGCTTGGAGTCCTGCACAACACAGCAAAACCCTCACGGAGTCTCCTCCAAAGCCACCCTCGCGTCCAATCACCCGGCTTGACTACCCGAGTGTCCTCCCCATCGCCGGTCTTCTCTCCACCTTTAACAATGGCAACATCCGATACATAGAAGTGCTGCAGCTGCAAACTGCCTTCGGAAAGGCTTCAGGAGTGACAACACACCAGCGGTCACCAGAACGACATCGATACTGTCAGCAGACATGTTGTCGAATGTCCTTCATGATCCTGACTCTGCTGCTTCTGAGAATTTCCTGTGCAAGATCATGGCAAAGCTGCATCTGTTCAAGAAGCGCACCATCACACGAAAAGGCCACGAGAACATGGACAGCGCCACAGCGCCTTTGTCTTTGTCACCCTTCCCTCTGTCCTTGCCCTTCCCCTTGCCACCTTGGACCAGTGGCAGCCACATGACGCCATGCTCCATGCTAATGCTTGTGCGGGGCAAGATGTTGTAAATGTTTGTGCTACAAGAATCACTCAACATGCATCGCCTCACACCCCATCCTTACAACTCGAAGTGTGCACGGGCCCCAGCCTTTCTTGCCATCCTGCACATGTTTGCTCAAAGAAATTGGCAGGACTTTGACCGCACACGGGGCCTTTCCGCGGGCCGTGCCAGAAGGCTTTTCACCTGTGAAAGTGCCCGTTCTTAGGCTCTCAGACACATGATGCTGCAATATGCTGCAGGCTGCTGCAAGCTGGCAGTCTAGGCAACACAGATTGGAATACAATATGGAGCATGTTGGGGCGTGAATGACAGAGCGCCTCGGGGCTCTGCCCGTCCTGGCTGCCTCCGCCTTGGAAGTTGGGGACTTGAGGCTTGCAGACTGCCGAACTGTAACCCCCGATAACGTATTGAAGCAGAAATGGAGGGCTTCCCTCGCTGCTTGCACAGGTAGACTTCGGCTCTACTATGTCCTGAATCGTCCTGAGGTTTCTTGGCACCTAGGACTCTCAAATATGCTGCGGAAATCTCGGTGCTTCCGCATGCCCGTCACGACGGTATCACATTTCCAGTGTACGAAATTGTGCTCAATTCACCATTAGAGCTTGGCATCTATACTGAGCAACACTCTAACCTCCTAACCTGTATGAATTAAAACATAAAGTTTTCTTGAATTATACATGCTCTTTGCTTCCGGCTGGGCACTCTGCTGCACAGGCCAGGATTTCCCTGATTGTGACAGACTCGCATTTTGCCCCCTGCAAACAACCGAGAGACATTGGAGACACTGTCGACATTACATGCTTTGATCCTCCCTGCAGCATATTCCCGTCTTGGATTGACATATTCGCCCACCTAGATGGACATGCGCGAGCATGAAGCCATTGAGATTGAGATGATTTGCAGGTTGCATCTGGCTCCCCGTGTACAAAAGGGTAGCTGACTCCATCGCATCTTGCCGGGTTCCAAACTCCGATAAACATGGATACACCAATGCTGCAGGCACACTGCTGCAGTCAAAAAGCATTGCAAACAACACAACAAACCACACACATCAGCAATGCTTGGGCTTGTGCTGCTGCGGTCGGCCCGAACTTTCTCTTCTCTGCCCCTTAAAAAGCCGGAATTCAAGAGCCGAAAGCAACATCATCATCATCATCTGCCAGGCAAACATGTCTGTTCGGCAAACGCCTGCCAGGATGGACCTGAGAGCGGCACACCCGAGGTCGTGGAGGTCTTCTCCAACCTGATTACTGTGATTTTTCCATGCGAACTCTTTCGGCTTCAATAGCCACGCAACATGCTCCTGACATCTCTGAAACCCTCCAGGGCTATGACGCCCCGTAGCCTGGTGCAGATCCTGAAGAAGAAGCGGAGGCGCCGTAAGGGGATCCGTACCCCGGGGCTCCGTAACTTGGAGGCGCGCCATATTTTGGCGGGGGCCCATAACCGTAACTGTCCGGTGGTGGACCATAACTAGGGGGCGGTGGACCGTAGCCATAGGCTGGCGGTGGACCATAACCGGGTGGCGGGGCGCCATAGGCTGGCGGATAACTATATGCCTCCGGTGGCGGGTAGCCGGGAGGCGGCGGCGCATAAGCCGGAGGGGCTGGATAACCAAAGGCATAGCCATCTGGCGGTGGATATCCTGGGGGTGGGTATCCGGCAGGTGGTGCAGCTGGGTCAGCCATTGCGTGGACTTTCACGTCCTCGATCTACATCTTGGAACTAAATGGTGTTGTACGTGGGGGTTACTCACAAACTCACGTATCATACCTGGTTGAAACCATTGGCTTGTTTGTTGCGACATGGTCTTCCCTGCCAAATAAACGGTTCGTGCAGTTGGTGGCTGATTTGGCCTGCTTAACAAAATTACGGAGGCTTTTGGCCATCACTAGGCCGGGCTGGCTACAAAGTGGTGCATGCCATGTCTCTGTCATACTGGGTCGAAACAGCATCCAGCACCATTGCAAAATCCAACTGTTACCTCTTAAAACAACTGGATGGCCCCATGCGGTGATGGACATGCCAGCCAAAGCAAGCCAACACCACTGATGGTTTGATAGGAGTCAGAAGTACCCGGCTTGTTGTAACAAGAAGTTGAGCGATCCCGTTCTTATGGAACATTTGAAGGCCAAGAAAAACAGAATCCCGTTCTTATGGAACATTTGAAGGCCAAGAAAAACAGAACTTATTTGCAACACAGCCCCACCCACCCTGTCACATCAATGTGTTTTGACAAGCCGATTTTCAAAAAACTGCAAACGGTTCTTGTGGTTGAAGTATGTTGCGCAACACAACACAGGACATTCCAATCGTTCCACCCCCCCGACCATGTTGAACATGCTGGCTGGAGGTTCAGCCTGTCCAGAGTACTTTCGAATGCAAAGTCGGCTGCCGTTTGGGAAGTCAACAGGCTGAAAAAATTTGAGCATGGCCAAGCTCGAATGTTGCGATAGAGATTCTGGATGTGCATGGACTGGTGACGTTTTAGGCAATGCTTGTTGCTCCCAGAGTTCGACTTTGATTCCTATGCTTTTGTCCACAGACCCAATTGCCGTCGGCTGCTGCGGAGACTAGTTGGACAGGAATGTTAAAATCACAAGATGGTTTCCTTGCGTTGAGTAAACAAGAAGTTTTGCTATTTCCAAACTTAAAACTGTCAGCCAACAGTGCACTGAGCTCGATGGGGGACATGTTCATCACTTGTCAGAAATGCCACAATGCCGAACAGGCCATGGCACGTCAACATCTGACAACTGAGAAGACATGGCCATCATTTGGTCGACTAGCTTGCTGATAACTTTGTGTCTGTTGACGGCTTGGTTCAAAAGGTGGTGTGCCTGGCTCGCCCGTGGCTCGAAGCCTCCGGCAATTCAATTCCTCGCGTCTTTCGCAAGCGGTCGGGGTGTTGTGCAAAACACTTGTAGACCCGGAATAGATCCTGTAAGAACCCAAAGGCCTGGCCATTACTCTATGCTTATCATGCGGTTTCCCCAACTAGAGGACCCAGGCCATTGTATTCTGTGCCTGCAAACCTAAACCTCTGCTCTATGTTTGCATGCCGGGGGCTTCGGGGCTTGAGCTCTTACTGCATGCCTAAGGACCGTATACTCTGCGCATACACCCGAATTCAATTCGATGCTTCCATGCCAGGGGCCCGGCTTCCCCAACTTGGGGACCTATAACGGCCATTTGTGTAGGCGACATGCTAGGGGCGCATTTAGTTTTGAATTGTTTTTCCCTACATCATGACGTCGGGTTGTTCTGTCTGCACTCTGCCGCTGCCCTCCCCCGTCCTCCCCTCCCCTCCTCCCTCCCCTCCTCCCTCCCCTCCTCCCTCCTCTCCTCCCTCCCTCTCCTCCTCCCTCTCCTCCTCCCTCTCCTCCTCCCTCTCCTCCTCCCTCTCCTCCTCCCTCTCCTCCTCCCACCCCCTTCCCCCCTCCCTCCCCCCCTCCTCCCCCCTTCCCCCCTCTCCTTCTTCTCTCCCCTCCCTTTCCTCCCCCCCTCTCCTCCCCCCCCCCTCTCCTCCTCCCCGTTCTCCGCCCCTCTCCCTCCTCCCCCCTCTCCTCGCCTCCTCCCCTCTCCTCCCTGTCCCCTTCTGAAAATGGTCATTCTTCACCTGCGCATCACGCTTCCGTAAATATAAATAATACTGGAGCGACCGGATTGGCTCCTTTTGGCGACATGGCCCCATCTCGACGGTGTTAAAGTATTTTTTTTAAGTCCCTAGTGGGTTTGACCAAGTTATGAAGGGGCTGGGGCTGGGTTTGGGGTGGGTTTGGAATGGGTTTGGCGAACCATGCTTTGAAGGGGCTGGGTTGGGTTTGACCTCTTTTGAAAGGGTTGGGGTAAGGGGGGGGTTGACTGTGTTTTGAAAAGGCTAACGGGTTTCTGGGGTGGGTTTGGGGTGAGTGGTGTTAAGGCCACATCCACAAACGCTTGGTGTTAAGACTGCTTTCTGGGGCTTGATTTCCACAGCAAGTGCTAGGAGACCAAGTCGTTCCTGTACTGTGGCAATCCAGTGTGCCAGCACTTGCCCATTGGCCATTTCCGACAAGCAAGCTTCCGCACCTCAAAGTAGTTCGGCAGTCTTAAGCGGACACTTTGTTGCCTCTAGTTCGCACTTCTTTTGCAAACTGACACCGTTTTTTCACGATGTTTGCACTCCGTTCTGCGGTCCCATTTTCGGGCCCAAAAACGAAGCCCGCAATGGGTCCTCCCTAAGAGTTGCCAATCAAGCGGGACCCACTTTGGGCACCCCATTTCGGGACCAATCCTGGCGCTGATTGGACTCAGTCGGGCGTCAAAATCGCTTCAAATCTGGTGGAAAGTAGGCGAGGTGGTGTGTGTCTCTGTGTGTGTGGGTGTGGGTGTGGGTGTGGGTGTGGGTGTGGGTGTGGGTGTGGGTGTGGGTGTGGGTGTGGGTGTGGGTGTGGGTGTGGGTGTGGGTGTGGGTGTGGGTGTGGGTGTGGGTGTGGGTGTGGGTGTGGGTGGGGGTGTGGGTGTGGGTGTGGGTGTGGGTGTGTTGTGGTGGTGGGTGTGGGGTGGGTGTGGTCTGTGGTGTGTTTTGGTGGGGGTGTGGTTGTGGGAGTGTTGAGGGGCGGGTGCGGGTCCGGGTGTGGGTGTGGTGTGGGTGTGGTGTGGGTGGTGGGTGTGGCGCGCGGGCGCGGGCGGCGGGCGCGGGCGCGGGCGCGGTGCGGGTGCGGGCGCGGGCGCGGGCGCGGGCGCGGGCGCGGGTGGGGGTGTGGGTGTGGCTGTGGCTGTGGCTGTGGCTGTGGCTGTGGCTGTGGCTGTGGCTGTGGCTGTGGGTGTGGGTGTGGGTGTGGGTGTGGGTGTGGGTGTGGGTGTGGGTGTGGGTGTGGGTGTGGGTGTGTGTGTGGGTGTGGGTGTGTGTGTGTGTGTGGGGGGGGGTGGGGGGGGGGGGTGGGTGGGTGGGTGTGCGTGGGTGTGTGCGTGGGTGTGTGCGTGGGTGTGTGCGTGGGGGGGTGGGTGGGTGGTGCGTGGGGTGCGTGGGTGGGTGCGTGTGTGCGTGTGCGTGTGCGTGTGGTGTGCGTGTGCGTGTGCGTGTGCGTGTTGTGCGGCGGTGCGCGCGCGTGCGCGTGCGCGCGTGCGCGTGTGCGTGTGCGTGCGCGCGTGCGTGCGCGTGTGTGCGTGCGCGTGCGCGTGCGCGTGCGCGTGTGCGTGTGCGTGTGCGTGTGTGTGCGCGTGCGCGTGCGCGTGCGCGTGTGCGCTTCACCCAGTTTTTTCCGAAAGATGCCCATTGGGTCGGCTTGCTTTTGTTCATAGGCCAGGAACGACCGGTTCACTACAACAGAACCACCCTTTCAAAAGAGGTCAAACCCAACCCAGCCCCTTCAAAGCGTGGTCAAACCTGCCCAAACCCACCCCCCACCCGAAGGCGACCCTCAGCCCCTTCAAAACATAGTCAAACCCGCTCCAAACCCACCTCCACCCACCCCTACCCATTCAAAAACACAGTCAAACCGACCCCGTCAAAGCACGGTCAAAACCACCCCAAAGACATCCCCACCCCTTCATAAAAAAGTCAAACCCACCCCAAACCCGCCCCCACCCACCCGCACCCTTCTAAACAGATCCAACCTACCCCAGGTACCCATTCAACACACGGTCAAACCCACCCCAGCCCATTCAGAGCATGGTCAAACTTGGGGAACATAGTACTTTAACACCGTCGAGATGGGGCCATGTCGCCAAAAGGTGCAAGACGAGGCGTTGGTGACATGTTGAGGCCAGCATCACAAGCAGCCCTGCACATGTAGCTGGTCGTACTTCAGACCTGTGGTTGCAGTGTCCCAACCTGCACCTTGTCCTGTAGACAAGACCGGCCCGGCGCCCCGTCTGGGGCCACACAGCGGGGCCAGCATGGGGGGAATACGTCGAGCTGAAGGCCGTTGGATAGCTTTGTGTTTGGCAGCTGTGTTGCAAGTCCGTACAACCTTATCGGAGACTTCTCATCCTCAGCAACGTTTCACTTTTTCCTCGGAGCAAGCAGTATAGCTGCACTTCAATCCCTTTCAACAGTATCCAAAGCAATACGTGACTGGGCTGTAGCTCGAACTGGGGGGGGGAAGCGGGGGGAGGGGGCGTGTCGTGGCCCGTCACGTACTTGTCTGCGAAGCGGCTTGTGAGCATGAGTGTCTCGGAGAAGAAGCTGCCACTTCGCATAAGCAGTACAGAAAAAGATTGCAGTGATCTCTGAGTGCATCATTCCAGGGAAGCTGCTCGAAGCACAAAAACAAGCCTCAGCACTGATACTTCTTGCATAGCAACCAGGCTCTGAAGTCGACCAATGTTGCGCTGCTCCAAGGATAATCCTGCTGCCCAGAGATCGAGAACCCATCCCCTCCCTAGTGCTCGATGATCTTACTTTGCTGCGCATGCGGACGCGCACCCACGCGAATGCCCGGCATGGTTTCTATGTGACACCTCCAATGGTGTTAACCATCCAGGGAGGAGCACGCACGGGAAATGTTGCAAACCACAGCAAAGCCAGTGCCACATATTGCCCCACATCCACTCATCCACCGAGAACTTGAGCCTGTCAGGTGAAAGCGCAGCCAATGCTGAAACCGCTGAAACTTCGTGAGCATGGCAACCGCGGTGGAAAAGGAAAGTGGGGCTGCGCACGTACCCGCCGTTGGGCAGCTGCAGACAAGATTTTTTAAAGGTTGTGCATGGATGACTATGGCTTGTGACAACGTTGAGCGCAATTCCGCATCTCCAGCTGGGTTCCTAGGGTTGCAGCGCCAGCTGTATGAAACGTGGAAACACTGACAGGATCGCGTTGGAAAGCACGCAACGAGGCACCGAAACCTGTGAAACCTGTCAGCCCACAGCAGCTTCCCACCGTGAGCTGAGCAGCTTTGTAGCACCAGGCCGCAACATGGAACTGCCTCGCTCATGCTTGCAGTCGCCACATCCACAAAAAGCTGAAACTGGGGACGGAGTGCCACTGGAAATGTTGAGAAAAGAGTGATATAATGTGGCCAGACACGATGCATCTGCACTTGTCGGCTTTTGGGCTCAGTTGCCGTTCTGTGAATCTGAGTACATTCAACAGAGAATCCGCCAACATCACAGAGGACACATCAACGGCAAGCAATCACAAGCCCCTAAATGGCAGAAAGACCGCGAGTGGATTGCTGCATTCGCAGGCTGGCTCTCATGGCTTCCAGCCCAGCGACCTGGAGCTGGGTGAGTGCCCCATGCCAGAATGCCAGGAGGCGCGATGCAGAAGGTAGATGATTCTTAGATGATGGATGATGATGGTAGAAGTGTGCAAGCTTGAGAGCTTTGCTAGTGCTCCGGCTAATGCCTGAAGGTGCTCCTGGCGACGCATCTCATGAGGATGGACCCAACGATGCGGAATGCTTTGGCAGGAGAAGAGGCAGTTAATCGAACCGAGGGTGGCACCTGGTTCGGTGATCACGTGGAGAATTGCTGGCCTGTACGAGTCCAAAAGCAGATGGGTTTTCCAAGGGCGACATGGTCTTCGCTCATGCTTGGCGTCAAGCATGTGAAGCCTGGCGACGTGGCGGGTTTGATCGCATGCCACACTCTCAAGCAGATGGGGTTATGTTATCGGTGGCGCAGGCTGGCGATAAGGTGGTTTCCCAGTCGCAGGAGTTTGAGGCTTTCAACAACCGTGACGAGTGTGCTCACAGCTTTAAAGCGTCTGGCTCCCAGGGCTTCACGCATGCTTCGACAATATGTCGGTGGAGAGAACCTCGAAGCGGTACTGGAGATGATGAATGACACAGGCTGCGTTAAACTGCGTTACGCTGTGCGGCTTTTTTCCCTCCTAAGGCGCACGCTGACATCAGAAACTTTGTCATCCTGGCTTCGTGACGGTGAGATTTCTGACTGCTCCAGCTTTGTAGATAGTTTTGCAAATTTGCCAGATGGCATTATGGGCCTCTTCCGTGGCACGAACACAGGCAAGATGCTGGTCTGAGTGCCCCTTGAGCTCTGCAAGTTCTGAACTGGCAGAACTGACAGTGTAGAACCCGGTAGCAGACTGCACCAATCTCGAATGAGATTTGTAGCCTATCTGCAACCCTAAACCCTAAACCCTGAAAACCCTAACTCCAAACCCTGAAAACCCCTGAACCCTAAAAACACCTAAACCTATACCCTAAACCTAAATAACATGAAACCCTAAACCATACAAAGCCCTAACACAAACCCTAAACCCTAAACTCTAAACCCTCGAACCTGACAACCCCTAAACCCTAAAACCTAAAACCCAAAGCTCTAAACCCTGAGAACCATTTACAGAAGAATCTAAATGGGCATAGGGGGTTTATGGCTTTCCGGATTCTAAAGCACTCCGCAACAGCATCACTCCTTCACTGCTGGGTGGGTGGGCGGGGCTTTTTTCTTTCTGCTCATCTGACTCTCAGCCTCTCGGGCTGAGTCAAAATTCTCACGTTCCATGGTGAAAAATTTTATCTCAAATAAAGGTTTGTCCTCAAGAGTACAATGCCCTTATTTTGTTCTCAAATTCATCATGAAGATATTTTCATCATCTCAATTGCTCATTCCCACTAAGTCAATCCATTCGAGCCTTTTTCCGAGAGGCAGGGTCCGTGAGAGTGCAGGAATCTTCCTTGCGCCGCCAAAGCTGCAATTTTGCTGTCAAGCCAGTGGCAGAGACGGCTACTGCAGCTGCACTCGATTTGGCCAAAGAGCGCTTGATGGGCCCATCACCTTTGCTCAAAGGGGGGCTTAAGGGGGGCTTGAAGAGGGGGCTTGAAGGAAGGCTTAAGGGGGGGTAAAGGGGAGAAGACCCTTGAAGGGGGCTTTAAAGGGGCTGAAAGGGGGGGGGCTTAAGGGGAGGCTTAAGGGGGGGGCTTAAGGGGGGCTTAAGGGGGGGCTTAAGGGAGAGAGACTTTTGTGCGGAACAGGCTGTGAGCAAGCCGATTATGTTTCCACTTGATCACCAAGTTCGACGAATGACGAATGCGCCTGGGAACTCTGGGAAGCCTTTAATCGTTGGTTCTCCGAGCATGATCACAAAGCTGCTTTGCTGTCTTATCTGCCCAACGAAGTACATTGGTGAAAACAGTAGGGTCTAAAGAATGTTCCTGACACCAATGATCACACCAAGTCTTAAGGTCAATCTGATTGTTGTTGCGCACAGCCCGATAAAATGCCGAAGCCAATAGTGCATCATACTTGCTACGGAATCCTTCAAACTGCACAAATCGACCCGCCATCAACGGACGAAGCATCCAATTCTAAATTCCAAACACGAAAACATCACCAGTGCTACTTCATAAGAATTCTTGCCCACAAACCCCCTGCTGGTGGAGGAGTGGATGCGGCTTTATTCTGAAGCTTGTACCCATCCATAAACTTCATTATCGTCCAACATGGTAGAAGACAGGGTCCAATTGGGATTAGGAAGACGATGGAAGGCCGGTTGGAAATGCAAGACAAACCCTCACCAACTGCGAATCTTGGACCGAAAAGCAACGAGAAGCCACCAAGGATCAATAAGAAGCCTTTTACACGAACCCCTTGGTGCATCAGAGTCAGACTCTTTGCGACATTACTGACTTCCAAAACCGGAAACGGCGGAGGAAGCTGACCTACACAAAGCCTTTTTGATAATGAAGAACAGGATCAGGCTTTAAGTAAGAAGACAACTTTTAAGAAACCCCGATTTGAAGAGCTCTGGATTTATCGTTGTTTGTCACATCTCAAGACTTCCCACAGAAAATAAGTTAACCACCATCACGGAAATCAACCGGCCGCTTTTGCTATTGTCGTCCAACGATGATGAACACAGGATTCACAGCTTGTACGATGCACAATGTTCCCAAACAGTATAAATATCGTTAGGGTGATCAGTTCTAATTTCCGCAGTTGCTATGGCCGCTTTTGTTAAACCATTGCACATAGCAACTGGATGGTCCTCCGCTGTAAATGCATGAACCGCAGTTACCAGTGTAAATTTCAAGTTGCACACACACAGCGCCAACGCACGCCTTGCATCTTCACTGCGCAACACCGCTACACTGCCACCACCGGACTTTTGGCGCACCACAGCACGCATACAGTGTTTCACAAATTTTGAAAGTCTTTTCAACGCTCTGCTTGAGGGCTCAAATGCGGTGTGTACAAAGGATCGCAGGGATGCACATCTCTCTTGCACCCCGCCTCGCATGGGCCTTGCTGTAAGGGCCAGGCGCTCTTTCTCAAAAATCTATACATTTACCCCGTGTTGGGGAAGCAGTGCCCACACGGAGTGTAGGTCTTAATGTTGGACGTACGAATGTTGCCGCATCCAGGTCTGTGGTACCTCTCGCCTCTGCTTGTTGCGACTTGGATCGTTTCCGGGCAAAATGCTCACTAACAAAACGGGGCTGAGGGAAGAGGTCAAGTTTCTTCAGAAACTGGTGGTGGTGTTTTACGCTGCCTCTTGAAAAGAGGCGCTGTTGCAATGCAGAAGAAAGAATTGTCAGCAAGCTGAATGTTTCCATTCGCTCAATCTTCCGGGCTTGCTCATGGATCACGCTCCTTTGCTCTGTCGCCCGGTTCACATACTCATCGACAAACTGTTGCTCTGCTCGGTCCATTCCAAGGTTGGCTTGGACTCCTGCGTCTCGTGTGCATGTTCTTGTGCTCCTTTGCATTGGGCTCAACATCCATCTTCCCAGAAGCAAAATGCCTCCAGGCACTCCAATCAGGAGCGCTCCAATCATAAGGCCAATCATGGCCGTCACAAGGATAGCCGCAACATCCTCAAAGCTCTGTCCCGCAACCAAGCTCAAGCCCTCAACACCTTGAAGCTGCGAGAGGATCAGGAGGATGGGAAGGATCTGCTTGACATTCTTAATCCCAGCCCCATTGCTCTTGAAGAAGTCCTTGGCACTCTGTCGTGCCACTGCTTCCTCATGCTCAGCTTGCCCGATTGTTTCAAAGCTGTCGTCGACTGCTCCAAGCTTGAAGAGAAGCTCTCTCAGCCGGGCCTTTGGGACCGGCTTGGTCCCCAAGTCTGAGGGGTTTGCTGTTCCAGCGATTGCGCCCACTTGGAACGTCCGCTCTTTCACAGCTTGCTGCAACCAAAGAAGTCCAGCGTCAAGGTGACGCACACGGCCACATCCAACCCTTTGCGCGATCCCGCGTCCTGCTGCGCTGTCTCCACGGAGCCGTGCCTCCACTTAATAGGCGCCTTTCACCATGTACTCAAGGCAGTCCTTGACATAGCGCGACTCACAAGCCCCACCAACCATGGCCACAAACTCGGCTTCGCCAGAGCTGAGCGAAATTGATCGCTGAGTTCGCACCACAGAGGTCACCAGAGAACCTCCGACGAAGATCTGGATTGACGACTTGCTTCGCCTGCTGCGCTTGCATCCTGCCCAGTCACTGTCGGTCACTGACTCAATCACAATGGTGCCGCCTGTCTCCAGGGCTCTGGCGCCATTCCATCCGAAGCAGGCTCCATCTCGGATCGGCTTGATCAAGAACCCCAGGGAGGGCACTTTCACGAGGTACCCGACAGTTTTCAAAAGCCATTTCCATGAACCCTGGGTTGGCTGGGACATTTTCGAAGACAGCACACACGTTGCGAACTGCAGGTCCGGCCGGCTGTGGCTCAAGTACAAGAGCCGCCCGACGCATTCCTTGAATATCTTCGCCTTCTCAGTGCTTAGGGCCTGCGTCTCGTCAGGCTCTAGGAAGCTCTGGTCCGCAGGGGTGTCCTTCTCCTTCACGTGGTCGCCGACCGCCTCAATGAGACCCTCGGCGTGCTTGGCATTTGAGAACATGTAGACACCTGCCTCGGTCCCCACATAGCGTCGCTTGAGGAACTCCACTTCGCCACCATGTTTGGTAAGCACATCGCTCACCTTCACCTCAACGTGCTCACTTAGCTTCTCGATAAGCTTTTCTCTCTCTGCCTTGGTCGCTCCAAGCAAACCATCGTCGGCATGCAAAATCAACTTGGTCTTGTTCTCAGGGTCCTTGTTCACAAAGAGCGTCGGCTCCTTGACGAAACCCTCCATCCTGGCCCCGCTGAGCAGCTCTTTCATGAATAGGAACCACTCTCCAGCAGCAGCCCTCTGGCCAGGAAGCATCCGCTCAAGGACAAACGCAACAGGCTCTGAGGATTCATTTCCCATCAGCCGCCCATCCACATGGATGATCACAGCAGCCTTTTGCTTGACATTCAGATAGTAGCATCTTTGACGTCAATCGAGACAACCTCCAGGCCCTCAGCCATTGCCACCGCGATCAAGCTGTTGATGGTGGCAAGCGTGCTGGCAGGGGCAAAGAGCTCTTGAGACCAAGCAGACCAGCTTCGGTATTCTCTAGCCACCAGCCTCGAGCGTCGGGTCCAGCCTGGCCGTTTGCGCCAATCGCGCACCACTTTTGTCGTGAGAAAAGAATGCCCACTCACATCTTCATCTGGCCGAACTCTCCGGAGAACTCCCATCTTCTCCAGCCGGGTGAGCTCTTTGATGTCACTTTCGAAGTCCACTTTCTCAAGCTCTTCCGGCGTGAGCTCTGGAGGTCGGTCACCATCAAGATCATATTCGGTCTCGAGCTCGTAGAGTTCCTCCTCCTGCATGAGTGTGTTCCCGACCTCCTCGATCCATTCACCCCAATGGGCTTCTTCTGCGGCCTCCACATCACCGCGAACATAACGAACTCCTGCAAAGCCTGGGGGATACAACGAGGGAGCTGGTGAACCACCAGCTTCAGAAGCACTTCCACCGCCTCGCGGTCGATCAAGAAGAAGCCTGGGACGCTTGGGAGATGCATCAGACACATGACTTTCACTGGGACGACTTGGCTTGTCAGACACATCCATTGCACTGTGCTGCGGGGTCTCTCCTGCTGGTCTTTCTTGCGGCTCTGCGTTGGGATTGCTCCCTCGAGCTTCATCTCCACGAACTTCACGTTGGGGCTCTCCTGCTGGTCTGTCTTGTGGCTCTGTGCGGGGATTGCCTTCTCGAGCTTCACCTCCTTGTCGGTCCCCGCCTGGACTGGATCCCCCGCTGGAGCTGGAACTGCTGCTTGACGACGAGGGGTCTGATCCAGCCTCATCTCGACCTGGCGCCTGTGGCGGGATTGGCGTGGCAGCGGCAATGGTTTCGGCAGCAGCTTTTCCCGCAGCCTTCGCAAGTTGCTCAAGGGTTGCCGAGTCTGGGAGCAAAGCGGTGCGCTCCTGAGTGTACATAGCCTTTTTGCGTCGACCTTTGCCACCGTAGTCCCAAGGCAGCCCACGGCAGCCCAAGACAGCTTCCGCTGACCACTGTTGTTCTGCAGGAAGTCGCCTCACTGAACGGCTCTCCCTTGCACCATCGGGAGTGAGGATCACATGGCTGTTGCTTCTTTCATTGACGCCGACCCATACACCTCTCTGCCACTGCAGGTCTCCCTTGTACTTAGACCCAGCAAAGAACACACACGACTCACCGAAGGGGAGCAGCTTGCCAACATACTTCTTTGAGTTCACCACTTCAAACGGCGGAAGGCCCTTGTTCGTTGCGAAGTAGCGGTTGTGCAGGAATCCACTGTGGCGAAGCAGCCACGCAAACACATGTGTATGGCCACCCACCTTGGCTTTGATCCGGCTTTCCAGGTGGGCCTTCAAAGTGAGGGCGTGCCGCCGAATGGTGCTCACCGCCTTCTCTGCAACACCATTGCTTGCATGAGACCCTCTCGGGGCCTCTCTCTGCACCACTCCAAGCCCAAGTCTCACACGGCATGCCTCGAAGGAGTTCAGGAGCTGCTTGATGGAAGGCTCTGGGTCGCCTTGGATGATCACCGGCTCAGACCCAGCAACCATCATGCTCATGCGCACCAGGGCTTCTGTTGCTCTCTTCAGTGAAGCTGACCCCTTTGCTAGAACCGGTACCACACATATCCACCCAGTGGTGGACTCGGCCGCCACGAGGCTGCATCCAAATTGGTCCTTGGTGTCCAACTTCTCCGGGTCCTCTTTGCTCTTCGGCCAGTCACCGTCGGGCGTCGCTTCAGGACCTTGGTCCTGATCATCGGCGGGTTGTGGCGCATCACGTTCCTGGCCCTTCTCAGAAGTAAAGGTGTAGCAGTAGTCAATCTGGATCACCGGCTTGCGGTCGATGGGTCCATCTGGCTTGGGGTCCTCCTCCTTGCGCTCGTGCGGGCTCTGCCGGGATCTGCCCATTAGGCATGCCTGGCACCACGGCTGAAACGGTTGGTGGGTCACCTCGTGCAACTCTTGCTGGCGGGCAGACGGGAGAGTAGGTGCCCTTGGCAACTCAGGGCTTCGGGCTTGCTCCTGGTAGAGCTGCCTGGCAATGTCACTCGCCATCTGCCGTTCCAGGTATTCGCGCTGGTTGCGCGGCCTTCTGAGCACCTTGTCTTTTCCCCCACTTGAGGTCAAACCAAGCTTGCGGCAGAGCTCCTTGAGCGTCTTCAGAGGTATGGTCGTTGCCCTAATGACCGGGTCCGCCAAACCCCCTGAAATTTTGCATACATTTCCGTGATCGGTTTGGGCTCTGGACCCCACTTGCTCCAGAGAGCTGAAAAACTGGTTAACGGTTCGGGCTTGGCACCTTGTTTCAAAGCAGAACACTTCGTTCTGGCATTGGGCAGGTCCCTGAAACAGGGAATTCATTGGTTTTGAAACCAAGATTTCCAGAACATATACTATGCCAACTCAAAAACCTGCACCTGTTGGCACATATTGTGTGTTGTTTCTCTTCCACGCAAACCGGAACGCTTGCAGATGATGCATGTTTTTTTGCTTGAACTTATGTTGAACATGTGCTCTCTGCCTGGCTATTGCTGTGTATTTGTCGCAATGTTGCGGGAATCATTCTGCACAAAGGCTAGTTGCCAATGACATGGTTTGCTTTTCCTGTCCCACCATTCCAACCATGCAACCAGGAAGTTGGACTGAACCCCAAGTCCTTGACCTGCAAGCATATTGTCTTCGCCAACCGACTTCCCGGGCATTGTGACAAAACTGCAGCTATTGACATTCTGTCACTGGGTTTCGGAAGATGTTTTACCCTTTGAATCCACCCCAAGTATGGAATTGAGGGTTTAGGTGTTTGGAGCTGGTTTGTGTTTAAAGTCTTTAAAAACCCACCACCACCCTGGACCCCAGGACTTGAACTACCCGTGCTCTTTTCTTTTCTCTTCTAGCTCGCAAAACTAATCGTTCCTTTCAAGGACCGAAATGAGAAACTTGAAATACTTGAAACATGGGTCAAGGGTTCGGCTTTGCTCTGGTCGCAGTGTCTCCAAACAAAGATTGCATGCCCTGACTGGAGACCAACCTGAATTTGTCCAGGCCCTGCGAACTCGAAGCATCCTGTCGCAACAGCCTTTTCTCAGCTGCTTGAAGCTTCTGTCTTGTTTCAGACAAGTCACTCTCCAACTCAGCTTTCTTTGTCGTTAAAACTGAGATGGTCTTTTCCTGGCTATCTGCCAGAAGTCGAGTTCGCTTCAAAGCACACTTGAGGTCTTCCACCTCATTCTCCAAACAAGTGATTTCCAAATCTTTGTCATCCTTTTCGAAGGTTCTCCTGACCCCGCGTCTGATGCCTTGAACCTCGCAAGGCTCTGCAGTCGGCAGTATCGCAGGTCCGGGTCTTTGGCTTTTGGTGTCTCCCACTGATTGCAGAGCTTGCTGTGCTGCGATTGCAGTATCATCCCTTTCGGAGCTGGCCATTGACGATGGTCTAACACACAGTGTCGAGAATGAGAATACATGAGAAGTGTTGAGCACCTTATTTCCTATCTCACTGGTCTATCACCCTTGCAATGCGACAACATGCATGCTGCACATCTGACAGGCAGTGCTGGGCAGCATGCGCCCTGACTGTCAACACATTGCACATCCATTCGCAACGGGCACCATTCTAGCATATACGTTTGTTCATGTTTTTCCTGGGCTTGGGACCTGTTCCCATCATGTTGCCTCGGCATCTGTGTTTGCAAAACAGTACCTCGCAGACTCGCAGACTCGCAGCATTGGATATCGGCCTTGCAGTCTCCGGCTGCTGACAGTTGAGAACAGTACTTAGCCCTTGCCGCCGTGGAAAGTCCACCCAGCAAGGTGCCTCATCATTGCCAGGCTTCTCGCCTTCTCTTTCGGTTCCATGGATCGCTTCCAGCCCGTTCTTGCTCGCCTCAGCACCCCTTATCAATAAAAGGGGTCTTCCTTTCAGAAGTCCACACAGCAGCCCAAAAAGTTTCTGTGATCTCGCCACCTGCGCGTCCGGCAGGAAGGCGTGCTCAACAGCTTTGTCCGGATCGATATCGGCAAAGTCCTGTTCATAGGCTTGGTCATTGGCAATGATCCACGTACTGAACTGAAACCACCATTCCCTCCATGTGCGTAGCTCCTCGTCCCTGCTCTGCGGCCGCCAGGTCTCAACCTTGACAGCCTTCATGATATTGTCGGCTTTCGCCGCTGCCGCCTGGGACTCAGCCAGGCTGGCTGCCCTCTCCGTTGTCTGGAGCAGCCTCCCGAACACTCCGTTGAAAGCCTGCTCCAGCCTCTGCCTGACCATTCTGTCTATCTGCTCCTGCAAGGCCGGCCCAGGTGCACTCGGGCCACCACTTCCGGCCGGCTGCTGTGGCTGGCCTCCATCTCCATCACCATTTGCTTGCATTACTTCGCCGCAGGCGCTGAGTAGAAACCCACGCCACAAAGGAAACTCCGGATGTGCCCCGCCACGAGGGGGTCTTACCAAAAGCGTGCTCCGGGACGCCTCACAACCACGAGGTCTTACACCAAAAGAAAATAGGATTGCTGGTGGGCCCAGCAAAGGGCAGCCTCCACTCCAGGGTGAGCACAGCAAAGTGCAGCCACCAAGCACGGAGAGCCACAGCCACGTGACAATGAAAAGGCCAGCTCTTATGCGGTGAAACAAAGGGGTCCCCGAACCTCGTGTGGGCCTAATGTTTACGACACTGGCCCCGAGGCTCCGCTACCATGAAAGTCTTTTCAACGCTCTGCTTGAGGGCTCAAATGCGGTGTGTACAAAGGATCGCAGGGATGCACATCTCTCTTGCAAATTTAAAGCAATACATTTACTGTGGAGGTCACTGGAGCTTCTCTCGTTTTCGATCAATTTTGCTGCCCCTCATCTTGGGTTTTAGATTCTCCAGGTTTTGTTGCAAGGCCTGAAGGCAGAAGAGAGAAAAGAAGGGCAACATCGGTGGAAACTGCAGCTTGGAAAGTTCAATGCTTTGAAACAAGTGTTTTTAAAAGCCTCTGACAGTGCACAGAAAATCAACTGCAGGACAAGATAAGTTTAACCGTGTTTTGATTCGTTAATGCGCGCGACGTCCAAGCCAAACCACTTGAAAATGGCGACTCTCAAGTTGTTCTGGCCATTGATGAGAGGTCAGTGTAATTGTTTTTTTTTCAATGTTAGCAAAGAACTGCAAAATCGTTGTTTTTCTTGTGGCAGCTGTGGCAGCAGTTCGGTACAGCCGCGACGTCTGCCCAAAGGGAATCGTCAGCTTACCGTGTTTGTGTGGGCGCTTTTTTGATGTGTTCGAGCATGGCAAGCGGCAGGCGGAGCCGGTGCAAGGTAAAGCATGCTGCCAAGCTTTGCCCTTGCATAGCTTGCAGCAGTGCGGACGTCAGCGGAAGAGCTGCAGCCTTGGCCCAAGGCTCCAAAAACATGGAACACTGCACTTTTGGAAAAGTCCAAGATCCTACAACAACTTCTCAAGTTGATCATTGGTCGGAAGACACCACAAAGGGAAAGAGATGCTCAATGTGAACTTCCAGCTTTGCCTCTCTCGTGCATCGTTCTTGTTGCTAACAGTTTCGAGGGTTGAAGATTGAAGGGCTTGCTGCGGCCACACCTGTGAATGCAAATGCCGGGTCTTCTGGTCTGCACCCAGCTTGAGCTCAGCACAACGCAGACTTCTGTGGGGTGTTCCAGAACTTCCCAGAACAGAGAAGAAGCAAAGTCTTGGTGCAATCTCTGCCCAAGGCAACGCTGATCGCGGTGCCCACCAAGCAGGTTTAGAAGAGCTTGAAAGGTAAGCTCCACAGTAAGCTCCAGGCTCAAGAGAGATGGACCACATCTGCATTGCATTTGCATTGATATGGGCTGCTGTAAGAATCCCGGCACCACCCCATGTGCAAAAGTTGGCTTCTGGCTGCCGACATGGAGCCCTCGTACCATGACTTTGATTGCCTTAAGGACTGCTGGCCATTCTCCGGAGACATTAAGCTGTCAGGTAACGTCCGCACGACTGAGAGAATACTGCGTGTGGTGGGCAGAGTCGAGGGTTCAGCTGCTGGAGGTTGTTTACAAGCGGTTGTCACTGGAAGATGGAACAGGTTAACAGCTATGTGCTTTCAGAGGATTCTGGTTCAGCACAAGGCGCCACTGCCTCTAAAGACACATCCTTTCGTTGCCACAGACCGATGCAGGGCTGCCGCGCTTGGCGGATGCCCCATCGGAAGATTGGAGGGGCATACGTGCCAACAAAGAAAGAAACAAGAATACCAACTGCACAAGTTCCAAAGCCAGCAAATCCATGGCAACACGTGCAGGAGCGGTAAAACTGCAGTAGCCAAAATCTTCTCAAGTGGTTGTCCATCTTGCTCCGTTGAAACTCGTGGCACAGCTACGGGGCCTAAGGGACCTCAGGTCAAGACTACACTCAACCCTCACAGCACGAAGTGCGGACTCTTTTCACTGCGCTGTTCACAGCTTCTCGAGCTCCGCTCGTCTTGAGCCAATGCGAGCACGGCTCTCCAGCTTCAAACACTGTCTGCCAGACATGGGAAAACAAAGGTACTTCAGGTGAAAACACTCAGCCATGGAACTTCTACTCCTAAACACTGTGGGTAGGTTCCTGGCACCTCTTCGGTGCTCTGCTTAGCTCTGTGCAGACCTAAACTGGCTTGAGTCACTTCTGGTCACCAAATACCAGGTCACAAACAGGAAACGAGTTCCGACAAACGAGTTTCGAGAAAACGAACAGAAAACGGTTCTTCCCACTCAAAACAAGGTCTCACCAAGCCAAAAGAAATCTGCACTGCCTGACATGTCCTCGTGCCTATGCTTCACACTCATAGCAGACAACTCAAGTGCACATCACGTGTCAACTGGGAAACTAGGAGGGTCACATGTATCACTCGAAAGCGGGCTGAGTCGCTAGCCAATTAGGCTCTTCGGGACCAAAGTCCCGGAAGTTAAGGTGAAACAGTGAGAACAACTACTCTCGGGAATGCCTTGGCCTGCTAAACACGGCCGTGCTTGTGAAGGCATCCGAGATGTTACGGAAAGAGCTACGGGCAGGGAGAACCTCACCAACCCTCAGAGTCTTTATAGACTTGACAAGATTCTCGCCGCAGCACAGGGAGAAACTCACCTTCTGGCTCATCGCAGATCACTGAAACAGGGCCCTCCCGAGTCGATAATGCCCTGTTCGCTGAGATGGCTCCAGAAAGGCTGACACTCCATTAACAACGTTTCCGCGCACCACCTTGGGTACACGCCAACGTGTCTGAGCTTGTCGCGCAGCCAGCCTTGGCGTGAAGGGCTGAAATCCGCCACAAGCGACCAAAAGCCTGTCCAGCTGTGTTTGGCTTCCTTTCCCTCCCATGTCCATTCATTCGTGTCGAAGAAAATGAGCCTCGGATGGGGGGAATTCGCCGTGGTACGACTCACAGCTACATTTAGTGGTCCCAAATCGCGGAGGGTCCACCCTGCAGCTCGAAGATAGGCCAGAATGATGGCCATGTAGCACAAGAACTGGAAGCAACTCTGGCTTCCAGCGCCGAATCGGGTGAGAACCTCAACCCCTGGAACACACCGCTCCTGCAGCGACATGTAAAATGGAAAAACCTGCTCTCCACCCCTCCACAGCAGGCGGATTCGCACGAGCCCATACCAGTAGACCTTCGCCGTTAAACGGGGAAAGATGTTACTGATGCGCTCCTCCTCGGCTTGGCTTTCATCCGAAAATTTCCACACCAGGGGAGCCGATTCGGCTACATAGGCTACTCGCGTTCGGCCGAACATGAGCATAGTCAGATCCATGGTGTCCCGGACATGGAGGCTGTGGGTGATGTCATGGACCATGACTAGGTTGACAGGAAGATAGTGCAGGGGTTCCTTTGGCTTGCCGCGGTGTGCCTTCCACTGGCCTTGAAAGTGGAACGCGGCTGCCTGTGGGTCTGCCCTCCGACGCTCGTCTACTGCCACTGCGTCGTCTCTTCCAGAACTGGCCGCTCTATCTGTCTGATGGTTTGCTTCACGGAGGACTATTGATCCTTCATTGGATGCTTTGTTGTCCAGGGGCCACCCTGAGCTCTCGGGAGAGCTTGCGGGGTCAAGAAGAGAGGTGAGATCCTCAACCTCCGCGTGGGCATCAGGGCGCCCAGGGTTCGATGAGGAGGAGTTTGGCCGAGGAGCCGCGTTTCGGGAGAGAACCTCTTCCCTTCTGTGCCCGCTTGAATCTGAGGAGCTTCTTAACTTGACCCTTCGTTCCCAGGGGGAAAGCTGTTCGGAGCGCCACTCATTGGTTGCATCCGAAGGAGCTTTGGCCACGTCTTCCGCCTGGGCTCGCCTGCTTGGCGGAGGAGCAGGTGGTGTAGGGCGTGGTGTTGAGTTCGCCCGGAAACGCGCATCGCTTTCCGCTAAGGAAAGATGCCTAGCATGGCTCCTTGCTTTACTCCTGGAGATCGAACCAGGGCTTTTTGTAGGGAGATCTCGCGCGCTTCTTTCCATGTTCACCTCCCTTGCTGCATCCAGCTCTTCTCGTGGCAATCTAGATTGCTTGCCTTTGAGGCCTTTGGATTTGCCGTGTCCTTTATTCCATCCTTTTCCCATAGCTCACTTCCTAAAAAGAGAGCGGTTTGTGTCAGGCCATCCTTTTTTGCTTTGGCTTTAATTTTAGCTTTAGACTTGGGAAAAGCGGGTGTGGTCTGGGGAGGCAGAGGAGGAATCTGAGGGAGAAACTCTCCTGTGCTGCTACTTGCCACTGCTTCACATACACTAGTGTTTGAAGGCACAACGGCTGCGGGATGTGGCGAGCAACTCTGCCTCAAGCCGAAGAAGGCTTTCACGCCAGCCTTGGGGTCTAGGCTTCTTTTTTGGGCTTCTTGGAATTTGCTGTTAGGCTTCTTGCAGACCTGACTGCACCTGCCTTGACATCCCGGTTTGGCCTTTAGGATTCTGACAGCTTGGACACTTTTTGCATACCACTGACTCTCCAAGGTTGATCATGTGGTGAGACACATGAAAGCCCCACGGAGTCGAGGTGGGCACAGGCAGACTCTGGCACGGGAACTGAAGAACGTGCTCAACCACCTCATGCGGATCGACTTGTTGCACGTAAAGCCCGCACCCTTCGCACTTGATGCACAGGTTGTTGGTGCTTTCTCCGCTAGAGATTTTCCAATTGTGCATGGTCTGAGGATTGGCCTCCTTGACTGCATGCAAAAGAAGCTGTTTTTTATTGGGTCCTTTTTTGGAGGGAAGCTCGGCCTTGGCCTTAGCCTTCCTCTCAAATTTGACCTCATTTGCTGAGGGCAGCGGGCAGTTGGCGAGGAGGAACTCAGCTCGCTTTCCTAAGAAAGTGGAGATCTCTCGTGCAGTGCTGTCAATTTGCCTGACGTTTGCCACATGCTCTTGTG